TTGCATCCATACAAGAGTCCAGGGAGATAGCAGGTCAAGTTTCACAGAAGAGAAAACTAAAGCCCTGGGAAATTTGAGTCTTGCTCAGGGTTTCCTGACCAGAAGCTAGACGGGCATCTGGGTCTCCTCATTCCTTGGCCAGAACTCTGAAGCCCCACGAGGATGGTGATTTCCTAGCCCTGGGCTTTCCTCTTTCCTCCTCCCCTGGTTTATTTTTATATTTTTAAAGTTTATTTATTTTTGAGAGAGAGAGAGAGAGACAGAGTGTGAGAAGGGGAGGGACACAGAGAGAGGGACACAGAGGATCCAAGGCAGGCTCCAGGCTCTGAGCTGTCAGCGCAGAGCCTGATGTGGGGCTCGAACCCACGAACCACGAGATCGTGACCCGAGCTGAAGTCGGACGCTTAACCGACTGAGCCACCTAGGCGCCCCCCTCCTCCGCCTCCTCTGGTTTTTAAGGGAACTAGGATGAGCCCCTTGGCATTTCTGAGGCTCCTTGCTCTTTGTCAGGCAGGCTCCCCACCATGTTGCCTCCAACCGGAACTGAGTGGGAGTGGCAGGCAGGAAGGAAGGGGCACAGTAGTGTCTGACTGCAGTGAAGGAGGGGTGGGCACAGTGCTCTCAGCTAACGCCTGGGGCACTAACTGCCCAGTCGGGTTCTTTTGTATTCAGAGCAGGAGGGGGAGTTTTTGTTTTGCTTTTTTTTTTTTTTTTTTTTTTAAGAGCAGCTGCTTTAACAAAAGCTGTGAAGACTGAGAGCCACAAAGACCCAGAGTCCACCAGTGGGAATGATTTCTGGCTGTAAGAGTCGAGGCAGGGGATGGGAAGGGAGCCAGGATATCCAGGCTGCTTTTTCCAAGTGAGTTGTACATTTCTGCCCTTCTGTGCCTGCCCAGGGATGGCTCAGCTCAGCCCGGCACACCGTAGCCTCCATTGCCACACTCGACCCACGGACAGAACATTCAGACCCCCTTCAGGACAGCACTCTGTTCATTCTGTTTGTGTTGTTTTTGTCTCCACCCAAAGAAGGCTATATTTGCGCTTTTTAATGTTTCCTACGTGCACATCCTATATGTTTATTATAAAAAATGTACAGACAACGCAGAAGTGTATAACGAGAAAAAGTTAATGACCTCCACCATGCCCACATAGCCACATGTCTTCCTTTCTACCATTTTAATTCCCAGAGTTACCCTCTTAGCAGTTTGGTGTGTATAATGCCAGCTTAAACACACACACACACACAGACACTTTTTAAAAAAAATAATAGTACACATGCCATTCTGCAACTTTTTTTCACTCAAGAATATGTCAAGATGTGTTTCTGTTCCAATACCTAAAAGTCCACTTGATTCTTTTTAGCTGGCGTGTAATAGTCTAAAATATGCATGTCCTGTGACTTATTCAACAGTTACCTTATTGAGGGAAATTTAGGTTACCCCTTATATATAAGAGGTTCTCTTTCTTACCTAAGACTCAGCCACGAACACACTAGAACATATCTTCGCATGTTTTTGTGAATGTATCCATAATCAAATTCCTTGAGCTGAAATCGCTTGGTCAAGTGGCACATGACATTTTAAATTTCCTAGGCATTGCCAGCTTGCCCTTTTAAATAAAAAGGCTATGCCAATGTCCCCTCCCATCCATGGTATATGAGAAGGAGCAGTGTTCCTTTTATCTGGGATTTGACTGGAAGGGTTTGACTGGAAGGGTTTGACTGGAAGGGTTTGGCTGGTCGGGTTGGTGAGAGCCACAGGAGAAATACAACTGAAGTTGCCATGTAGGGTGGTAGAAAGAACACAAGGCGGGACAGTAGGAGACCTGGTTTCTAGGACCTTCTCTGTGAGGCATTGGACAGGCTACTTTAAACCCCTGGGTGTCCATCCGTTTGCTCATCTATGAAATGCGGATCATAATTGCCACAGTATGCTGTTGTGGTTGTTGTGAGCATCAAACCGGGAGATACAAGAACGGTTTGTAACCTGAGAAGCGGGATTCACATGCCAAGTGGTTATTACAGTAGCGTTGTTATTATATCCTTAAATCAATGGGCTCAGAGAAGGAAACCGGGGAAGGTGGGAGTTGAGTGGGAAAAATTACACAGATGAAATCTTCACCTTTCCTGAAAGTTCCCATGCAGTTGTCCTATATTCTTGGAGAGCAAACCACGTTGGTAGTAAAGACCGCTTTATGATATCAAGAAGAATATAGGTTATTACCCTTTCAGGGGAAGACTGAAGTCTTTCGTGCTGGGCCTGGCTTCTGAGTCCAGTCCTCTTTCTATGACACCTCTATGCTTTAATTTGTCAGGGACCTAATAGGATTTTGGCCCCGTGCTACTTTCTATAATCACCAGTGAGAGAAGAAATACACACATGAAATGCTTAAATAACCGTGTGCCGTGACTGCATAAATAGCTCTGAGTTATAGCTGAGGTATATGGGAGGATTAGAGTGAAATCAAATACCTTTTAATTACAATTTAAATCAATAGCCCAGAAGAACAAGTTAAATCATTAGCCAGAAAAAAAATCCGGTTTTATCTTTCGATTTCTTAAAAATAAAAACGTTCTTATTGTTTAAAATAACCCAAACAAGTGCATTTTGCAAATCACAGATGTAATATTAAGTAAATGCTCATTCATTTAGATCAGTGATTTTTAGATTACTTTTACCATGATGCAAAAACAAAAAAAATCAATGTGATGGGCTACCTTCTTTAACCGAAAAGTTAATTAAAAAGATATCTGTAAAATCACTGAGAGCAGAACCACTGTGATTTCAGCATATTAATCAGGGATTTGAGAAGAAAGGTGATGACTGTTTTTACATTAGGAGACAACCACCAAGCAAAAAAACCAACCAACCAAATAAACAACAACAACAACAAAAAAACAAAAACAAAACAAAGGCTATTTAAAAATGCCTGATATTTTAAAAACTCCAATCTAATATACTCTTTTTTTTCCAAAGCAAATATGTATTTTAACGAAACCATTAATACTATATATCATATTACAAAAAGCATGGGGTGGGGGGCCAGCGCCTGGGTGGCTCAGTGGGTTAAGCGTCCAACTCTTGATCTCGGCTCAGGTCCTATCTCATGGTTGGTGAGTTTGAGCCCTGCATCTGGCTCTGGGCTGACAGTATCGATTCTACTTGGGATTCTGTCTCTCCTCTCTGCCCCTCCTCTGCTCCTGCTTGAGTTCTCTCTCTCTCACTCTCTCAAAATAAATAAATAAACATTTTTTTTTTTTTAAATAAAAAACATGGGCCTTGGATGCAGACAGATCTAGATACAAATTCCATCTCTGGGACTTTCTGCAGTGTTCATGTAATTGTCATGTATGCATAAATATATTTTTAATTAAGGAAAATAAAAAGTAAAATGTGAAGTTAGCCTTTAAAAAAATCTGGAGCATGTATTTTACTTAGTTTTTTGCCACCCTCTTTCCTGCCTTGTCATACATTAGAAGGCTCATTGTTCTTTTTTTCAATTTCTAACATCATCAGAAACTTTTAATTTTTAAAAAATATTTATTTATTTTTGAGAGAAAGAGACAGAGTGTGAACAGAGGAAGGGCAGAGAGAGAGACACACACACAGAATCCAAAGCAGGTGCCAGGCTCTGAGCTGTCAGCACAGAGCCCCACATGGGGCTTGAACTGATGAGTTGTGAGATCATAACCTGAGCCGAAGCCAGACGCCCAACCCACTGAGCCACCCAGGCACCCCTGAACATCATCATAGTTTAAAATGAATTAGTCCAAAGAGGTAGCCCATTCTCCCAACTTCCCCAGATGTTGCCTCTGTGAGTCTAGAGGCCTGTTGTGTGACTTTTCGTAAAAGGACCTTGGCAAAAATATTAGTTCACCTTCCATCATAAAACTTGTTTTGTTAGCATTATGGAGAAATGCTTGGTAGATGTTGAGAAAATTGGATAAAAGTGTACTGTGGAGGGTCATAACCCATTTTGACCATTTAAGTCTGCCAGGGTATATTTATCTTTACAAAAATAAGTTTGAAAGTGGAGAGGGAAAATCACCCATAAACTTTAACTTAACCTATGATAATTTTACGTTCTCTTTTATCATTTTTATGGGTATATTTTACATCATTATAATGCGAATGTACTTACTATTTTGCATTCCTTGTCATTTTTGATGACAGCTTACTGTCTCCTTGCTGGGATTTACCATAATTTATATAATCCAGCCAAATCCTGGAGGTTATGGATTGTGGAGTAGCAAGAGATGATTTTTGGAGTTACATTTTAAGCTTCGCACACGGACAAAAATTTGAACTTTTTCTTAAAGACGAGAGGCCATGAAAGGTTATAGGGAGAGCCACAGTTTAATGAAATTAAATGTATCTATATATCTATAAACGTGAAGTAGTTTTTTTGTTTTGTATCATGCTCCCTGTTTTGAAATGTGTGTTTCATGGGCAGAAAGATAGTTTCCCTATCTGGATTGTCACCTCTGAATGCCACTGCCCTATCTGCACGAGTCTACTTTGTATCCAACAGACTCCACCAGTGTAACCTGTTGGCCGGACAGGTGGTATCCCAAACCCAAACCATTTTCCCCAATAAAGAGAGCCCGTGTAGCTGGACGGATTTCCTCCCCTGAAAATTTACCTGAAATTCCAGTCTTCACAGAGGGCGGCCAGTTGAGGAAGACACACGAAATGCCTCCGCCCCCTCCCTACTGACAGGTGCGCCTCTCTCCTGACGGCCCCACCTCTGTCTAGACAATCCTGACAGTGTAGAAGTTTCCATCTCCTTTTCCTTTCCCTCTCCTGTTCCCTCCCCTTCAGGCCCCCCCCCCCCCCATCCCAGGCGCTTCCTGCCTGGAAACAAAAGATTGGTCCCCAGCAGCCCACTCAGGGCGATTTTAGTTTTCTGCTCACCCTCTGATTGGCCCGCGTGCGGTGCAGAGCCCGGGTGACGTCATAGCAGACAAGAGCTAGGGAGCGGTTGCCGAGCGGGGCTCTGCCGCGGGCGGGCAGCTGTTGGCAGCGCACCGTCTGGGGGCTCGCGCGGGGGGCTGCAGCTTTTCCCGGCCCGGAGCAAGTGTGCGGGGCCGGGAGGAGAGCCGGGGGTAGCGGGCCGGGCCCGGGGCTGCGGCTGCGGCTGCGGCCCCCCAGCCCCGCCAGCCCGAGCGCTCGGAGGTAGAGGAGAGGTCTGGACAGGGTGGCTGGACCAACGGCAGGTAAATCCCGCGACTCACGGCACCCGGCTCGGTCGGGGGAGGGTGTGGCGCTGCCGGGCAGATTTTCTGCCTTCCCGGGGTTCCCTCCTGCTCTCGCGGTGCCCCAGCCTCGGGTCCCCTACGTGGCGCCCCCGGAGCCCCGAGACCCGGCGCGCAGTTCGCGGGATCGCGCTGGGCGAACAGCGGACGAGTGGGTGTGTCAGGGCCACTCTCGGAGGGCCTGGACCCCTCGGCTGGGGCAAACCCTGGACTCGCTGACACGGGCCTGGGCCGCTGGAGGCCAAATCCGCCCCCAAAGCAACGTCAGCCTGTTAGTCTTACACCATCTTCCCGCCCCCTCCCCCAGCCCCGGTAGCGCGGGCAGCCCCCCCCCCCCCCCCCCCAACCAAGGGGAGGAGGTGTGGCCGAGGCCCCGGGCAGGTCCGGGAGAAGGGGACCAGCCCAGCCTGAGCAAACAGAAAAAGTGACGGTTTTCTTAAACAGGCGCCCTTTCTTTTATTTTTCTTTTACCCTCCTCCCCTTTTTTTGGTGGGGGCGGGGGGAGGGTAATGACAGGAGGACTCATTTCTGTTCATGTGGAGATTGGAATGATGCAGTACTATCCCTAAAAAGGCTGGGGTCCCTCAGTTGGCCTTTGTCTTTGTCTGGGGGGCAGGGGTCATTAGGGGTCATTAGGGGCACTGCCCTCCTACCCCGTCCTCAGCTCACAGGGAGCCTTGCCGTCAGTTTGTGAACTGGCTCTGGCCAGACGCCTGCCGCACTTTGGGGCAGATTGAACATTTTAGATACTTGCTGTCACAGGTTTTCCTTCCTTAGGTGATGGTGGTGGAGGGTCAGGGTGGGAGGGCGGTGCCCGCAGGGAGGGAGCCAGAGGCCCCCACTTGATATTTTGGTCCCACCTTCCAGAATCCAGTGCCAGACTCTGGACTTGAGGGTTCTAGGCTGTGGTCTATAGAAGCAAAGGAGAGAAGGGTGAGTGGCTTGGCTTTGGGAAGCATGAAGGGGGCGGTTGCAGTGTTATTTATTTATTTTTTTAAATGGCTTTCAGCCGGGAAGCCTTTAGCCATGTTAGTCTCGCTCCCCCCATGGTTTTGCAGACTCAAATCCAGGCCAACTGTATGGCTGTCTGAGGTGTTGGAACAGAAGGAGGTCCATTCCCGTTGGTGACAACACTGTGGCCCTGTTCTGGGATGACCGAGGTATAAAGGTCAGTGCGGTTTTCACTGGGCCATTTGCAAAATTATAATCGGGCAGGTCTGTGATTTGGTAGTTGAGGCCCCTAACCAGGGGCATCTTTGGGTAAAGGGGCTTAACTGGTAATGGATGACTAATAGGCCAGGGCTTGGAAGGAGAGCCATGTAAGCCTTCGTCAGTGTCTGGATACAAATGTCATACCTCCCTCCTCCATGAAAGAGGCAAAATGGGAAGAGACCGGCATGTATGCTGGGTGGAAGCTGACAGCTGAGAATGTCAAGGCCAGAGGGACTTTGAGATGTCAAGGAGCAGACCCTCCAAGCCTCCAGGTAGGCAGGTGGGCCTTGTGGGAGAGACCAAATAGAAAAAAAGAGGTTCACTTGTGATACAGATGCAGGCAAGGGGCCACAACACCCGAAGGGCGTTCTGACTAGCCGACCGTTACCACAGGTTGCAGATTTTCTGGTTGGAGGCAGAATGGGTGTACACAACAACCTGCTGAGGTCTTTGGGGAGAGGGGAGTAGATGTGGCAAGTGAGGAAAATGAGGAATAACTGGGGGGGGATGGGGAGGTGCTGTCCCCATCAGAGACTCTGCTATTATGAAGTCAGTGACTTAAGCTACTATGAGGTCATAGAGGGTGGTCAAGGCCAAAAAAAATCAGGTCTAGAAATCAGATGGAGCAGGTGGGAACAAAGCCATAGGGACATACAAGAAGAAAGAAGCTGTGGTCTTACCAGGAACCTGAATGCCATGATTTCCCACTGATGAGATGGGGAAATTTGGACGGGTGCCTCAGCCCATACTTAGGGGGACAATTTCTTGATATTTAGGGAATTGGTAGCATTCCCAACTGTGTAACCGCCTTCAGGAGCTAGTAGCTTTGGTCATAGGAAGGAGAAGAAACTCCATGAACGGTGGACTCAACAATGACTCTTTCCTCCTGGGTAAGGAGAAAGAAAGGGGGGGCGGGGAGCAGGGTCCCAAAGGGGATTGGGGGATATTTGAATTGGCCTGAGACACAGGTAGGTTGACTGTTTTTATATGGGGAGGGCCAGGGCCAGGTCTGGGGTCCCTGCTGCAGGCATGGGGGTACCTGCCTGTGCTAAAAAAAAAAAAAAAAATGCCCTCCTTCCAGGGGCCCATGGGATGGTGAAAGCCACTGGTCTTGAAGGTAAGTGCAGTTGTTGAGGCATCTGGGGGGGGCAGCTTAAGCTCCAGCTGCCCTGCTGGCCCCTGCCTTTCCACCCCGCCGCCTGAGGCTAGGAGGTTCTGTCTGCAGGGCCTGGGGTGGCCTAGCCTGCCAATTCGGCACTATGCGGCTTCTCCAGCAGGGGGCAGGAAAGGGCACGCAGCAGCTGGCAGGGCCAGAGCCCTCCATTTCTGGTGTGAAGCTGGAGCCTTCTGAGCAAGTAACAGCTATATACTTCAAATCTGATTTAGGGGTACCAGAGAACCAAAGGAACCCCCGGACCTGGCATTCTGTTTCCATTCCCTTCGGAAATGTGTCGCTTCCCGGTGCGCCCCACGCCTTTGGAAGACATTTGCACTTACAAACCCAGTGATTGCTCCAGTCACTCATATACCCAGGCTAACCCAGAGTTTAATTGGAAATGTTAATCAGTGCAATGGATCCATGTCTGATTTGCACGTTTGCTCACTTATGTGCAGGTTGGGGCAATCTGTGCTGCACCCTGGGGACATAACAAGGGGCAGAATGGCATAGCTACAGCTGGGTGTGCGCGGGTGAGAAGCAAAATGGGGGAGGCGGACCTTGAACACTGGAAAGAGATGAACGGTTTAGTGGTGGGGAATGGAGATCATTCCCGAGGTGTGGTCACAGAAAGGCCTGGGCCTTTCCATTGAGATGGAATAGGACTGTCTTGGAGCCCACACAGTGGAGCCGGGGGCCAGGGTTTTGCCATGAGCTGGGAGGAGGCTGGATTTGGAGAAGGAGGTGGAGTGTTTTTTTTTTTTTTTTTTTTCCTATATAAATTTTAGAAAAAAGAGGACCAGAATCCAGGATGGAATGAATAAACCTGAGGAGTCAGAGAAGTCAAGTGTTCTGGTCTGCTTCTGCCCCTCTTCTGAGCCTCACTCGCCTTGTCTTTCAAATGACAGCACTGGACTTGGTGGTTTCTGAGATGGTCGTGACATTTTAGGAAGTGGGTCCATTTGTTCTGGGTCATGAAGGCAGGTCCCCGTTAGGACAACATCCCCCCCCCCCCCAAACCATTTATCCTTTCAAATCACGCTTTTTGATATGCCCGCCAGTTTGGGGGAAAATAATACCAAAAAAAAACCCACAACCACTATACATATTTCATTTCTCTTAGCAGTGTGGTTTTATTTTTATTTCATGTGAATGGGACACAGAGGGGAGAAGAGAAGTCCAAGTGGAGAATCTGCTAGGGACCTTGTAACCAAGGCCCTGAAAAGCTCTTTGGGGATCTTATGCAGATCTTCTTCAACTCCGTAACTCAGCCTCCAAACAGAAGGGCTTGGGATAAGAGGAAAGGAAGGCCCGCTTAGGACGTGTATCCTTTTCCTTCCTTCTTCCTCATGTCTCTCTGAGCCAGGTGGACCTTCTGGAATTCTGCATCCTCAAGAGACACTACCCCTAACCATCAACACAATCGCGCCCTCTAGTGACCTCAACAGGGACATGACTGGCAGACTTCCCCATGCATCCCCTGGTCCAGTGCTGATCTCCTGTGCAGCTGTTAACTCCCTGTGGAGAAGGGCTCCAGTCCTTCCAAATGGCCTGGAGAAACTGAGGCAGTTGCAGCTTCTTGCAGGTCCTTCTGTATGGATGGGGCTGGAAATTGAGCAAGAGAGCCATCTCCCTACTCCCTCTGGGCCCGAAAAGGGTTCCAGAACTCCTTCCCCGCCATCTTTAGTGCTGGGCCGGGCACCTGCCATGGGAGGGCCCTGTGCTAGAGAGAAGGGTTGGCGGTTGGCTACAGCTCCCCCCGCCCCGCACTCCCCCCAGCAAAGCGGCAGCCCTAGTCCCCAGACAGAGAGGCTGGCAGGAAACTGGAATGCAGCAAAGCTGGGGTGCTGGTAGGCACAAAGTGGGTACACTGATCCCTGGCCCATCCTCCGGTAGGAGGCTAAGCCACAGGTGCAGACACAAGGCGTGTAAACATGCAACATGATACAGACACATAATACGGTATATGGTACATGTATGTATGTAATATGGTATATGGTACGTGATGTGGATCAGATGCATGTCACACGCAGCACGGAATAGATACAGTGCACACACAACACAGTGCAGCCCCACGGTACATACACTCTACAGTACCGACACCGTATACATACGCATGATCTAAACGCGACTGCACGCACACCCAACATGATACAAACCGGACACACACAAAATGGCATAGATACGACACGGCGCACACACGACAGGGTACAGGCACACAGGGCACCCAAATACGGTGAGTGCAGGAAGCGGCACAGATATACTTGAGCTGGCATGCACTCACACACAGGCCACATCCCTGCACTCCCCAACAAAATTCACCCCGCAGACAGGCCAGAGGAGTGTGGCCACCAGGTGGAGCGCTGCGTCCTGCCAGTCTCATCTGCACTGGCTCCAGCTGTGCAATTGGGGGATTCGAAGTAGGCCGCCCTGCAGTTCATCGGAGGCTAAAGCCAGGGGGAGGCAGGCCTGAGGTCAGCTCTTGATCTTGCACAGAAGCCCGGAGGTGCTTGGTCGGTTTGGGCTGGTGCATCCACTGCCCCGCACCTGGCCCTCTGGCGCTGCTCCCCACCCCCGTGGGTGCTTGGTGCCGTCCCTGTGCTCAGGAGACTTTTTGTGGCCACACTTCTTGAGCCCTCTTCCAGTCCTGCCTCTTTCTGGGGCTTTGGCAGCCGGCACTCACCTCCCCTCACCCCACCCCCCTTGCAGGCTGAGCTCATGCAGCAAGGGATTTTGGGCACACCACTTCGCAGCCCAGTGGGTGCGATCTGGAAATGCTGCTGGGAGTGTGCGAGTGGGAAGCACTCAGGGAATGCCGGGGCCGCTGGGGGACAGACGGACAGACGTGCTCTGGAGTCTCGCCAGGAGCAAGTGGCAGACCTAGGGTATGGCTTCGTCTTCTTATTCACCAGGGGGAATTGGGAATCATGGGGCTTTTCTTGGCCCCCTGAGGCTTCAGTTTTACTGTCTCTACCTGTGCATATCCATCCATCCGTGTCTCTGGATTAGGACCTTGTGCGTTTGGTGTCTTCTAATAGAACGTGTGCTACCTGGGTCTGGCTTTGTTGGGATGTAACATATAGGTGCTGCTTTTCTGTGAGGACAGACACCGTGGAGGGAAGGAGGGGGCAGGGCGGGAAGGACTGCAGAGGGAATATTGGTCTCTTCTTGAGAGGCTCGAGTGATTGTGGGAAAAGGCAGAACAGAGAAGGGTTGGAGACCTTGTCTCCATGGTCGGATATGGAAACCTCTGTGGAAAAGATAGGGTAAACTGTCACCAAAAAGAAAACCCCAGTATGTAGTCACCCTAAGAAATCTGAGAAAGACCACAGAAGACCTCCCTGTTAGGATCAGAGGCTGAGGTCCTCAGCAGCTGTGAGATGGTAGCAGACTAGGGACCCTCCAAGTGCTTCCCACCCCCAAGGCAGTGAAGGAGGTCTCTGAGAAGGGAAGGACGCAGAGGTGGAGACTTGGACTTGAGGCATGAAATAGGCCTCCGTAAACAGCAACGGAAGTGAAATCGACAGCATCAGTATTGCCGGTTCCTCAGGAAGCTCAGGTATCCTCAGAGCCAACCTGCATTTGCCGTCATCTCTCAGGTTTCTATAGTATTCCGGACAATACCGCCCCCTGCGAAAATGCAAATACTTCACATCCGTCCTGTTTGATCTATTCCTCCCGAGGACACACGTCCACGGTGACTAGGGCCGGTCTTTTCCATGAGCTAGCAAGCAGATCCAGAGTGGTGAAAGGACAGCAGGTCTCAACTTGAAGCTCGCACTTCAGTGCCCTTTCTGGACTCTGACACAACAGTGCCTTTTTTTTTTTTTTTTTTTTTTAATGCTTTCTCCCCTGTCTGATTCTCTGCCTTCTCAAGGGGTTTTCTGAAATCCATTGTTGTGTGAGTGTGACGTTTGCGGGGGTTGGCTGAGGGACTCGTAGCAGGTGGAGAAAGAGGTTCCTGCACCCCCACGATGCTTCTCTTGGCAGGTTTCCCCCAAGAAAGAGCAGCTGAGTCCTTGCATCTTGTGGCAACTGGTGTGCCCAGCACCCAGTCCGTCGGAGCTGAAGGCAGCCCGGCCCCTTCTCATGGGCAGCGCCCACCTGTGCTGAGGTCCTGCGGGAGTGGCGGTGAGAGGTGAGTAATGGACTCCAGGGCAGGGAGTTAGGGATCTCCAAGTCCAGGTAAATGCCACCTTGCCACCAGAGCTCCCAGTATGAAAGACCCTGACCCCACCTCAGAGCCAGGCCTCAGGGCACAGCCCCTCCTTCCTGGGGGATTGTGGCCCTTATGGCTGCCCTTGGTTTCTTGGTTCGCCCATCTCTAATGTGGATAGGAATGACAGCCTTGACCTACATTGTAGGGTGAGGAGGAGAAATAACCTAGCAGTCATTGCCAAGTCCGTTGCAAATGCTCAAGCTCCACCGAAGAGCTTCAGCAGAACCACAGACACGCTTCCCATCAAGCTGCCGCTTCCTTTCTTCCTGCTTTCCTGATGTCAAGGTGGCATTTAAGCCACATGCCACTAAGTGACCAATCAGCTCCTGTAATTTCTCCTCCACAACTTGGATTTTACCTTCCTGGTCAGAGTGTACCCCAACCCCATCTATCCCAGCTTCTGGGCCTGGCGGGCGTAAACTTTCCAGAACCTTCCCTCTGCCTTCCCAGCCAATTGGAACGCTTTCTCCCCCAGCTCTCCAACGACACTTGAGTCTGTAGTATGTAGTGTGGCCCTTGCTTCTCTACTGCCTTAAGTAGTTCTTGCACGGTTTCTGGAGTATTCGTCTTGGCAGGTAGGTTAGACTACAAACTATGTGTGGGCACTAGATTTCACAGGCTTCTAGTCTGTCTCCCAAGTGCGACTGACGGTTCCCCTGTCAGACTTTTGACTGGGGCCCCGCTCACCCTCTCTACATCTTTCAGGTTCCTTGGCCTGCCTCTGATCATCTACCCTTTTCCTGTCAGGCGGCCATTATGCCTTCCTCTGTCAGCTGTTCCATCTGGCCTTATGTTGCCATATGCTGCCGTCCAGCTACCTGTCCCTCTCTTTGTCTGGCCTTGTATCTGTCTCCTTGTCAGCTACCTAGCCGTCTCTCAACATGCCCAAGTCAAAAGCAACCAAACCAACGAAACTAGAAAGCCCCCAACAAGAAAAAGAAATGAAACAGAAAACCAATAGGGAAAATGCAGGGCCAGTCTCTTTCCCACTGAGCCTGCCTGCCCTGGGCCTACAGGACAAAGGCAAAGTGCAGCCCAGTGGCAGGTGTTTCTGTGATGCCTTCTCATGAGGGGGAAGCTCCAGAGTTTCGGCCGGGAAATGGAGGGTGTGAAATTACAGCCTTTTGCCGATACTGATGTATTCAGCTTTCTAGAGATGCCACGGTAGGGGATCCTATATAGACCTGGAGCGACAGAAGGTAACTAGAACTCACTACAGTAAGAAGCAAGCCCCCGGGGTCTCTCCTGGGTGTTCTGTGACAGCTACAATAATAATTTGTATTTATCGTCTACTGTTGTGAGCCCTGTGCTAGGCATTTTATTTGCATGAGACCATTTGATCTCCCAGTAATTCTGCAAGGTAGGTATTTTTTTTCTAATAGTTACTCTTTTTGCTCCTGATTATAAAAGTGATACTAGCTCAAGGTAGGTACTAGAATCATTGTCCTACCCACGAGGAGGAGACAGAGGTTGAGAAGGGGCTACGTAACTTGCCTGTAACTGGACACGTGCTGTGGCTTTGGGAGGAAAGACACTTTCTCGAGAGTGTCTCAGCAACCCAAATGATGTTGGTACTCTTGAGTGCTCTCTCTTTCTCTCTCTCTCTCTCTCATATAAGCATACTGATGTACTCTTGGACATTCACACAGTCCTTATGCCTCCTTGACTCACACTGTTCACACTGGACATGTTCGTGGGGATGATCACTCCCACCCTCTCACCCTCACTCGGAGTCGTATTTACAAACATACTACACACAGGCTCACTCCTGCTACCACACTCATTTATATACTCACATTCTCATGCTGACGCACTCCCACTTGCCCTACACCCTGGCCACATGTTCTCACCCACCCACACCTTTACGTTTTCTTACGTTCTTGCACGCTCACAGTCACCCCTTCTCGCTCATGTCCACACAGGTGATAGAATCACGTTCAACCTTCCAGTTCCTCCACACTCACACACGGTCTATACACAGACCTACGTTGACTGTCCCCTGCCCATTTCTCATACAGCCATACATATCCAAGTTTTATGCACTCTAACGCATTCGCCCTGTCACTATTTCGTCCTTACAGTAATACACTTGGACAACTCACAGCTCCTCACAGGGACACACACACATGTATGAATGCTCATACCGTAAAGGTGGTCTCACCGTTTCCACTTTTGTGCCTCCTTACAGTCTTACACTCAGGATTAGGTGCTTTTGGACTCCTCCTCAGCACCGGCCCAGCCTCCCCTTCTCTGACACATTCACACAGAATCACACTTGCACGTGGAAACACGCTCCTTTTGACACGCATTCACGCTCAGTCGCTCACCTTCACACTGAGACCCGGTTGCCCACTCCAAACTCACAGGTATACAGCCTCCAATGTGGACACCCACACTCAGTTTTGGTAAACTCAGCCACTTTCGCCGACGCGTGTCGCCCTGCCCTCGCGTGCAAACACGGCTACACACGTGCAGCCGCACGGACGCACACCCCCATATGCCCACTCACATGGCAGTACTCGTGCAAGCTGGCGTGAACACACGGTCACACTTACGGCCCACCCGTGCTGATATGCCACCGTTTGCACGTTTTCACATATTGTCACATTCACGGCAATACGCTCAACATCCTACACTCCCGCACGTCACCATCGGCACACAGGCACACACTCACACTCCCCTACGCTCACATGTACACCCTTTCACCCTCTAACTGCCATTTCTGCATTACCCATATTCACAGCGGCACCGTCCCACTTGCCGCACACTCGCATTCTCACTCCCGTACTATCGTGCTGTCCCACCGCCTACATTGCTACACGCATTCGCACCAGTACGCAGAGAGCGTCCTATGCAGTCATTGACCTGCGCTTACGTGGGCGCACACCAGGCCAGCCCACACGGTTCATACTGCCGCTTGTCAGTGCCCATAAGTACGCTCATGCGCTCACACGCAGGCAGCTACGGACCCCACGAATGGCCGTGCAGAGTCACGCTCACTCATGCTCACATCCACTCTGCGACGTGGACCCTTAGGTTGACACGCTTGCTCACGCTGACCTGCGTTCCCGTGCGGTCACCGATGCTTAAATACGTGACTCTAGCTCATCGTACTCGCCTGAACTGTCACGGACTCTTCCTTGGACTCTCACACGGGCCCGTCGGCCCCGACAGACTCACCCTGACATTGACCTGCACTGCCTCACTGAGATGATCCGACTCATGCATGTCTGTGATTCACGTGTGCGTGTAGTGACCCCGCCCTCCCCCACACTCCCACCCATTCCCAAACTCTTAGACGTGCCCCCACACTGATATGGCCACAGTCACACACTTTCTCACTGACACACGCACACCGTAACACCCCCCCACTGCAGGTAGCTCGTGATCACGGTTGTCACTTTTTTTCCTACTTACCACTAATGTTCTCCTCTCCCCTGCTATGGAAGGTTTTTCAGCAACCTGTGGCCACAGGAAGAGTGTTGGTCTGAGCCAGGGTACCAGTGGGACTAGATCTTTCTAGAGCAGAAAGGAGTGGAATTGATATCTAGGATTAAAAAGTAAAAGCTCAAACCCACAGATCAAATTTTATATCCTTTTGCCATAATTTTCTTTTACAGAAATCCTCTCTAATAGAGAGGCTCAGCCAGTCTACCCAAACAGGGTGGGAGGTTACATGGTTTATTTTCTGGAAATTTATGGCTTAACGTGTGAACTCCTTTCTCTCCCCAGGGGAGGGGAGGGTAAAGAATGTGTTTCCTTATGCATGCCCAATGATGGTTTCCTAGGCAAAAGTATGTGTCTGTGATTTTATATGCCTGTGATCTAGAAGTCCATGCTGATTACAGTAGGCACCTCTCATGTAGCCTAGGTCTGCTTTTACCCTGCCAACCCTGGGACATGGTATTCAAGCAAGAGAAAGGAAAGGTTAATGAGTTAGCTGGATGATAAAAGAAATTTCTGTTGAGCGTGCATGTGCATACATAGACCCCATTGGAATTTCAACAGCTGTTACTAACAAGTTAACAGAGGAAATTTCTCAGTAGGCGTGGATACAGGCAAGCTGAAGAAACTTCCTTGCACTCCAGACAGACTGTAGATTTCCCTGCAAGAGGGTAAAAAGAAGCACAATTCCCAGGAGTGAACCAGTAGATGAGGAGCCCGGTGCCAGAGTCCTGTGCCACCCCTAGTTCCCAACCAGAGATTTAGAAGCATGAGGCACCTTGTAGGACCCTCCTGAGTCCATGGCTTCCCCTGCTGAAATCTCTCCGGAACAAAGTGTGTCCAAGCTGCCATTCGATATGGATTCTGGCACCATGGGGAAAGAAGCCTTCGTTCTGGAATACCACATACTACCCTGTACACCTGAGATTAGATTGAGACTTTCTTGGGAAGCAGAGACCACATCATCTTACTTATTTTGGATTCCCAATGCCTGGCATGATGCCAGGCCCAGAGCAGCTACTTGTGAAACTTCATTAAGAAACTGAAAGAAGTAGGTGGACACCAACATGTCAGAACAGATCCAGTGCCCCTCTTCCTCAATCCCAGAATTCTCATGGCATTACCAGCTTAGACTGAGAATTTGCTATGGACTCTATATAGTGCTAGACCCAATAGGAGATTCAGATGGAAGAAAGAAACGTACTCTGCCCTTGAGGTACTTGCATTCCAGTGCGAAAGATGAAGTCACCAGACAAGGGTATCACCAGGCCACAGTCTTCAAACATGGGATTGCAGGAATCTCTGCCATGTAACCCAGTGGTCTTCAAGCTCCCAAGGCCTTGAGGGTCCAGGAGTGGTTGGGAACAGCAGCCAGGATTTAGGGAAGTCATTTCCCAAAGCAAACCTCCTCGTAGAGCTCTTGCTTAGCACAGAGATATGCCGTCTTTCCGGACGATTGTGTGTGACAGAGCCCT